AATGGCAGGACATCCTTGGCTGTCCTAGGTGGGCAGCCATAGGGCAATGCAGGGCAATGGGCAGTGACAGAGGGGATGAGGGCACAGGAGCAGGATCTGGGCAGCTGTGTCCATAGTGTTCTGGAAAGGGAATGACAGAGTGGGAAGCCTGTATAGGGGTGGGTTAATGAAGGAGGGTGAACCCCCTGCTGTCTGAAAAGGACCCCCCACCCCCACTACAATGTGGACGCTGCAACCTGCACCGAGGAGAGAAGTGATAAATTAATGAATGCAATGTAGATTTGGGGTCAACAGATAATGGAACTGCTTTCATATACATGTGAATTTTCCAAACAACAACAACAAAAAAACTCGTAATATTTGTTACTCTATGCAAAATAAGCTGCTTTTAATTTAAAAACAATAACTGAGGTAGCTATGATGTGCCTCCTGGTGGCCAAAGCCAAGGTGTCAGCTCTGAGAGTAGACCAGGTTGAGAGAGGAGAAGGGGTTCAGCATAGGGAAGGGAGGGATGGAGTTGGGAGCTTGATTAATGGGATCAGCCTCATTCCAATCCTGCCACTTATCTGAGGAAGTGGCTTGGGATCTGTGAGCCTGAAGATAGTCATCTGTGAAATGGGACTGACCATACCAGAGCTGTCCTAAGGGGTAAATGAGAAAACCTGCCCAGAGTATATGGCATAGATTGGGACTTTAGTAGTCTTTAAATGTTGGGACACAGAAGTAGGGGCTGGCAGAGCCTCAGGGATAAGGGAGCATTGTGAAAAATCATTTCTCACTGTTTCTGCTTTTGAGAAAAATACACATCTAGTTGAAGAAAGCAAGTGTCCCTGTGATATGCCTTGAGTTGAAAGATTTATATACAGCTGTGTCTCTAGTTCTTGGGTGTTATCAGAAGCTCATAAGAGCTGTTCAGCATCAAGCCCCTCAGCTGACCCAAATTCAGTTCCTGATGCTGGGAAGATAGGCATGTCTTTGAACTCACCTGGTCATCTCAGTGATAGATAACACCAGGTAAGCAAAGTGTGGAGTTTGCGTAATGGCTGCTCTTGGACAGTTTGGTATGTTAATATAGGAAAGCCAGGCACTGTGGCTCACACCTGTAATCCCAGCACTTTGGGAGGCCAAGGCGGGCAGATCACTTGAGGTCAGGAGTTCTAAAACAGCCTGGCCTACATGGCAAAACCCTGTCTCTACTAAAAATACAAAAAGTATCAGGTGTGATCACGCATGCCTGTAATCCCAGCTACTTGGGATGCTGAGGCAGGAGAATCGCTTGAACCTTGAAGGTGGAGGTTGCAGTGAGCTGAGATTGGGCCACTGCACTCTAGCCTGGGCAACAGAGTAAGACATTGTCTCTGTCTCTGTCTCTGTCTCTCTCTCTCTCTCTTTATATATAATATATATATATATTATTTATATATATATATATATGAAAACTCTGGACTGTTTCACAGTCACCAGGGCAGTGATCCTTAGATTATGCATTATTCAGCCACATCACAGCAGTATTTTAACCATATTTTACCTCTTGAAATAAAAAAATCCAAGAGTTACTAGCATTTCTATACATACAATTGTCCATTCATTCATTCATTAATAAATATATATTAAGCTCAATACCAATAATTTATAATTAAAGGTGTCTCATGGTAGTTTGGTAGAAAGTGCAGAAAACCCTTTATAGGGCTTTAACTTTGGTTGAGAAAAAAAATAGAGAGAAAAAAAAAAGTTGGGGAGGAAAGATATCCAATCCTGTGGCTGAATGGGTGGTAGTCTGGCTGTCTTTCTTCCTGTAACCTTGAAATTGATCACTGTATTTAGTGTTGTCACCCTGGTCCATCCATTGTAAAATGTTTGATAGCATTTCATCCTAAGATACTTGAACCTCTGAAGTAGACACCCAAAACCTATTTAATAAACTAATTAGATGTAGACATAAGAGTATACAAGGAAACAAAACTATGTATATGACCTGTCCATCTTTTTATAAACATATGAATTTTTCAAAAAGAATACAAGTCATGCTGTACTTATTGTTTCATTATCTACTTTGAGGAAAAATTTTGTTTCTGTTTATACAAATTACGTCTTTCATTTCGAAGAAATAGAGAATGCTGTCAACTGGTTCTCAAAGTCAGAATTGCAGAAATGAAAGTCAAACAAGGGCTTGGCAAGGGGTAGGAGATTTGAGGGGAGTAAGGAAGGTGCATGTATTCCATTGTATGAAACTGTAGAGAACAAAGCTTTCTGGAATTTCCTATACACTGGTGGTAATTCTGCTGTATTCATGCCCAATGTGGAATTGTCATGCCCAGGACTAGGTGTCTAGTCTTTATGTAAACTGAATAGAAAGATGCATGAATTGGTGTATCAATAATTGTGAAGAACGTTCAGACATAGAAACACAGGTACACCCCCACCACACATGCAGACACACTGTCAAATAAATTGTTTTGACCTACTTTTTAATGCATAAACCAATACACTGTGAACATGTTTGCAAAGCAATGAATATGTGGGCATCATATGTATAATCAGTTCACAATTATAGTGTTTTTTTTGTTGTTGTTCACATTTTGAACAATGAAATTTCCACATTTAAAATACTAGGGAATTGCAAATTTTAAAAAATCCTCTATCTTCCTCCAATGCACATTTAATAGTATATTAAAAAGATTTATTAAATAAATCTTTTTAGTATACTATTTTTATACCACAGCATATAAACATGATTCTTAGTCAATATATGTATTTCTACACTATCATTTTGTGACTAGGGTCACAGATTTTCCTGATTTACAAAACATTATCTTAATGACTTTGTCACATTATTAATTTTTTTATTGTTTAAAGCATATGAAACATAATTGAAATATATATTAGAAATTAAAAATATTCCATCCAAATCTTCTCCATCTCCATAATACAAAGATGGTCTGTATTAATTTACTGTTATCTGTTCTCCAGATCTTTTTCTCTCCATGTGGTACACTAACTTATTTTTAACCACACACACATAACTATAAACCCGTGTGTGTGTGTGTGTGTGTGTGTGTGTGTGTGTTTGCGTGTGTGTGTATTATTCACAATGGAACCATATACTGCATTATAATTTATGACTTTCCTGATTGACTAAATCTGATTCTTTTTCGTTTTATGTGTGTGTGTGTCTGCCTACAAGTTTTTGGATAAATTAATATTGGTTTGTATTGCATTGTCTCTTGATATCATTGACCTATCTCTGTTAAGAGTATTTCATACACAGTGGATATAATACCTAGATTAAACATGCATACATGCATTTATATATTAACATATAAAAGATACCTTATCTACTTTGGGATGCTGAAACAGGCGGATCAGGAGGTCAGGAGATCGAGACCAGTCTGACCAACATGGTGAAACCCCATCTCTACTAAAAATACAAAAATTAGCTGGGCATGGTGGTGCATGCCTGTAATCCCAGATACTCAGGAGGCTGAGGCAGGAAAATTGCTTGAACCTGGAAGGCGGAGGTTGCAGTGAGCTGAGATCATGCCATTGTACTCTAGCTCTGGGCAACAGAGCAAGACTCCATTTTGGGGGAAAAAGATATATTATCTAACATTTGTAATGTAACTTACATGTTTAACTGTAGTGGGTAGAATTGTGTCCCCCTCAAAACATGTCCCAATCCTAACCCACCCAAACTTTATTTGAAAATAGGATGTATGTAGGTACAATTAAGTGAAAGATCTCCAGAAGTGAATATCCTGAATGTAGGTTGATGCCTAGTGCCAATGACTGGTGTCTATATAAAAGAAAGCAGACGGAGATTTGACCCAGGCAAGGAAGAAGGCCATGTGGAGATGGAGGTAGAGATTGGAGTTATGTTGCCTCAAGCCGAATAAAGGAGGAGCTGGAAGAGCTAAGAAAGGATTCTGCCCTAAAACTTTTGGAGGCAGTGTGGTACTACCGACACCTTGATTTTGTACTTCAGGCTTTGGTTTTATACTTCTGAACCATGAGATAATGAATTTCTGTTGTTTAAACGTGCCAAGTTTGTGATAATTTGTTATGGCGGACCTAGGAAACTATTACGCTTACAAGCATCGTACCTCAAATGTCATTGATTATGAATAAACATTGGTTGATATCCTATTTTTTATGTCTACAGTGATACTAATGCCAGTAAGATATGTAAAAAGAACTTAAAATGACTATTAATTTCTTATGAATCATATGCTTTTAATGTATTGAGTCAGTCAATGCTCAAAGCTCTCTTAAAAGGTAGATACTGTGACTAATCCTTATTTTATAGATGATAAACTGAGTGACAGAGAGAATAAAGACTTTGCTTGATACTGCATAGTTAGGGAGTGGGACAGCTTGGATTTCTGTCCAGTATTTCATGCTGCAGAGCCTGTCACACATTTGTGTTAAGTTTAAAGAAACTACTGCACAAGCATGCATATTTTATGAGTTCATTAAAAGTAGTACTCAGTATGGTAATATATGTAAACAGAAAACTGGACCTAGTGACCAAAAGGTGGATTGTAACCTTGGTGAGATCATGTTCATTGCAATCGTGGTGACAGATGCCATAGTGCAGTGGGATAAAGAGTCAATAGGAAGTAATGTTAATAGGAGAATGTAGAAAATGTAGTAATGTAAATAGAGGATGTAGATAACTTTTTGAAGGGGAAGGAAAAGACAGTGTCAAAGAGAGGGAGAGGAGGGGAAGCGGAAAGGAAAGGAAAAGGAAGGGAGAGAGAAGAGGGGAGAGGAGAGAAGAGAAGAAAGATATTATGTATGAGTGATGTATTAGGCCATTCTTTCGTTGCTATAAAGAAATGCCTGAGACTGGGTAATTTATAAAGAATAGAGGTTTAATTGACTCATGGTTCTACAGGCTTACAAACATGGCACCAGCATCTGTTTAGCTTCTGAGAAGGCCTCAGGGAGCTTTTACTCATGATGGAAGGTGAAGCTGAAGTATGTATATCACATGGTGAAAGCAGGGGAAAGAGAGAAAGTGGGGGAGGGGGTGCCACACACTTAACCAAATCTCAGGAGAACTCACTGTCACAAGGACAGTACCAAGCCATGAGGAATCAGCCCCCATGACCCAAACACCTCCCACCAGGCCCAACCTCCAACATTGGGGATTACAATTCAACATGAGATTTGGCAGAGACATATATTCAAACTGTTTCAGGTGATGAGGAACAAAAAGGGATTTTTAAAACACTTCAATTCTTTGGAATTTGAGAAAGTATAAAGTTAATTTGAAGAAATCATCTCTCAGATTTGAACCACAAAGTTACCCATATATTCATTTGAAATCTTGCCCTCTTATTTCTACTTTAGTTAATGAGACACCTCCAATAGACTAGTATGCTTTTAAAGCTCAATACACATTTAGTTATTACCTAAAGAATAGAAAATTGTGTGTGGTAGAAATGCTAGTAATTCCTAGGTGTTTGCCTCTCAAGGAGGCAGTGGGTAACTGAAATCTTGTTGTGATGTAGCTGGATAATGTGTGATCTGAGAACTTTGCACTGTTTACTGCAGAGTGGGTCTAGAATATTCCTATAAATATATTAACATAGTGAGCAGTGCTGGAGCACTCATTAGACAATCACCACTCCTGTGTCCCTGATGTGATCTGTCATGGAGCCCACCAGGTGGATTCATAAACACGCTTGTCTTACCACCATGGGAAGTAGATTTGGATCTACTCAGAGTCATGATGTTGAATGGCCCTTATGAACTTTCAAGCACCTAAGAATGCAGAGACCTTTGGTCTCTAAAACTTTGAACTTAAGCATTTTGGAGAGAGATTTGCCTCTTTCTTCATGATGTTTGTGTTGTCATTAGGAGAAACAATGAGAAGTGATTTTTCATGATGACTGCCTTAGCCTTGAGGCTCAGCCAGCCCCCTCTAAAGGCCACTCCCTGCTGTATATTCTCAACAGATTTTCTCATTTACCCCTCAGAACTGCTCTGTAAGGATGGTATGGTCAATCCCATTTCACAGTTAATCAAGCTCAGACTCACAGAGCCTAAATCACTTTTCCAAGTAAGTGGCAGGATTGGAATGAGGTTCCATCCCTTACCTTCCCTAGAGGACCCTGAGCACCCCCTTTTGGAAGATGGGCTTCCAGGGCTTAAGAAATGGTCAAATTCCACTCCCCTGCTATTGTGGTCCAATGGGTTCCCACTCAACAACTCCTCTGGGTGCTGAAGATGACAGAGGAGGTGAAATCCTGTGCTTTGTGCCATGAGACTGGGGTGTAGGGCAACACGAGATGGCTGATCCCTCAAGTAGTGAGTGGGCTCAGGTAGAAGCTCAGGTGTTGGCCTTGGGACAGGTGAGCTGGAGAAAAAGAAAGCAACATGCACTGAATTACTGTAAGCAAATGCACTTTACACCTCATTTCCTTAATTTTAACTGCTATGCAAGGTCATTATAACCATTATTCAAATTAGGCTGCTGCCTTTAGAGAAGTTTATGTAAATCAGGGAGACAACTTTGTTGTTTCCTGATCAGCACAAACTCTGTATGTAGTACTCTAAATTTTTATCATTTTCTCTTGATTACTCCAGGAACCTGAATGCTCTAATCTCCCTCCAGGCTGACAGTACCAGCTCCCCAGGTGTTTCTCAATGTTTTTTTTCTCTTTTGAAATTAAGAGCTGTAGAATTTTAAAGTCAAATTTTGGAGTTTAATTGGATTAGTATCCATGATTTGTGAAACATAGCAACAAAATGATTGGCAACTATTTCCATAGAGAATTTAAGTGAAACATACATGCACAATAAGCATATTAAAATATGCCAACACCACAAGAACTAAGATGCAAACATTTTAACATCTTGAGAATTTATAATGACAAGATGCAAAATATAAGTACTGTGATTACACTTTTGGAGAAGACAATATGTGTGTGTAGGTGAATGTGTTCATGTGCACCTCACCTACAGGGATGTGTCTGGAATGTATGTACCAACCTAGGAACAGCAGATCCCTTGGGGTTAAGGAGTGGGAGGTGGACCAGTGAGAGCTCAGGTTAATTTTGATTTATGAGTATACTCTTCTGTATACTGTTTGAAAATTGGTATTTGGGAATAAAAGTATTTTGATTAAAATTTGAACACATAAAATACTTTGGAACAAATTATCAGAGTTAAGGTGCAAGTATGTTCATTAATTCGAAAGAGCATTCATTATATTTTATTTTATTGTGAAGTAAATTAAATAACAAGTCTAATTTACAGAGGTTGTGTGTGTGTATGTGTGTGTGTGTGTGTGTGTGTGTGTGTGTCTCCTCTAGCTCTACCACCCCAAATATGCAATCATGGATGCAATTTATCTTTAGTTCCAACAGGGGTTGGAACCAGTCTCAGTTTCATATATTGTGGAACACGATGGATAAATGGAAATTGTCACTATTAGGTGAATAATTCCAGAAAACTGTGGCTGATACCTTGGCGCTAACCTCAAACCTCCATCCATCCCTCTTCCTTCCTGAGTCCCTGGTTTGGGATGATCAAAGCTGCATTTCTGTCTCTGGGCACTAAGAGGCATCACAGCTATCTCTGTTTTTGTACATTTTGCGGAGTAACAAATGTTTTAAAATGACTTGTTTACTTTGATTCCAGTTCTGTTTGGAAAATTCACATGTATGTTAAAGCAGGTCCATTTGCTGTTGACCCCCAAGTCTACAATGCAGTCACTGACTTATCATCTCTTCTCAGTGTGTGTTGAGGTGTCCACCCTGTGTGTGTGTGTGTGTGTGTGTGTGTTATGGGGGATGGGGAATCCTCCTAGAAAGCAGGGCATTCAACTCTTCATAATTCCATCCCTGTTCAGGCTTCTCAGACTTTCTCACACTCTTTCAGTCTTCCCCTCTCCGGAACACTATAGACACAGGTCCCCAGATGCTGCCCCACTGCCTCTGACCTTTCTCAGTCACCTTTCTACAGCCCTGTCACTGCTACCTGGTGTTTCATTGTATGGATGCCCTGGAGCATATGTTTTTACATTTACACTGATCAGTTTTTTTTCTTACCAGCATGGGGAACTGGATTTGTGTCTTCTCAGAGGCATGATGCTGAACAGTTTTTGTGAGATTATGAAACACACAAGAATGTAGAGAACTCCATCTCTAAAACTCTGAACTCAAGGTGTATCAGGGAGATTTGCCTTCTTTATATGGATGTCTGTATTTTCATTAGGAGAAACAATGAGAAATGATTTCCACGATGCCTGCCTTGGCCTTGAGGCTCAGGCAAGCCCTACTGCTGTGTCTCAACATTTAAAGGGCCGTTGAAGTCTCCCAATCCATGCCATATACTCTGGATAGGTTTTCCCATTTGTGCCTGGGAAGAACTCCATAAAGATGGTATGGTCATCCCATTTCACAGATGACCAAGCTCAGGCTCACAGAACCTAAGTCACCTCTTCAGGTAAGTGGCAGGATTGGAATGAGGTTCTGTCCCTCACCCTCCCTAGAGGAACCTGAGCACCTCCCTTTTAGAAAATGGGCTTCCGGGGCTTGAGAAATGGTCAGATTCCACCATTCAGATCATGGCAATGTCTTTAGAGGAGTTTGTGTAAATCAGGGAGACAAGTTTGTTATTGTTTGTTCTGTATTGATGAGTATTTAGAATGCTTCTCATTTTTTCCTTTTTAAAAAGATTTCAGCAATGCTATAGCAAATAACCTCTTACCTGGCTATTTTGTACATGTGAAAAATGTTTCATCAATTACATGCTTAAACATTTATCCCTTGGGGCTTGATTTCAGTAATATAAACTCCCTTTCATGTGTCTTGAGCATTCTCATTTCTTTAATCATCTATAAACCTGTTGTAGTTACAATATTTAAATGTACTTGTAACTGATAAGTGTGTTTCCATTTCTTTCATGTATTTGGTCCCTCCTCCCACGCTAAAATACAGACACACATAAAGCCAGTTTTCACCTTTTTCCTTTGCAAATTAAAAAAAATCTTATTCAGTTTTTTCTGCATTTAAATTTTGTCAAATGGTAGGTGATAAGAGGATATTTAGATGGTTATATTTGCATTCCTTAATGTGTTAGTGAGCTACAATGTATTTTCTTGTAATTATTGGCCATTTGCGTTTCTTCATCTGTGAACAATATACATATTTTGTCAGTTTTGCTATAGGAGCTGTGCATGTGTTAAACCTAAAACCCTTCACTGATCAATGCATGTGTTATTTCAACACATCTTTGTGGGGTGAATATTATTTATAAGATACTCTAGGAAAATCCATGTCCTAGTCTCTTCTGAGATCTCAGCTCTTATATTTATGGGAAATGTCCACCTGCAGCAAGAAAAGTATCAGTGCCCACCCAAACATGTGTGGCTTGTCAAGGATCACATGCACAGACAGTTAGGCTTATTCCTAAACCCTGCATGGCCGCAGAGTAAAAAGGATGTGTGCTGCATTATATGAGGAGAGCGCCGGCTCAGGACTGTGATTTCTGTGATCTCTATACTAACAGCAAGATTTTTAAAAATCACGTAACACTTCTGAGTTTGCCTTTTCTCATTTGTAAAATGGAAACAATCATAGCTACCAAAGTCAATTGTTCTGAAAAGCAAAAGAACAAAATATTTTAAGTGTCGTACACAGTGTAGGGTACATAACGGTACTCAACACATCTTAGTCCCCTTACTGTTCCATACTGGTCTTTCCTTTAAAGGAAATTCCTTTGACATAATCCAAAAAGCATAGTTCCATGATAACGATCACATGGAAATGTTAAGGGAAATGTACTCTGTGCTGGGTAAGAAAAAGTAAAACAATCGCTGAACCAGTTTCCTAGGGTTTGTAAAAGAAAATCATGAAAGCCATCACCTCATTTCACTTCATTTCATAGACTTCCCCATCCCATTTTTTTATGTTCTATGTTAATTTCTCAAGAAAAATAGGCCCAGCACCACCTCTGCACGCAACCCCGTGGGCCTGGCTCAGGAGGGGGCCGGGGCCAGCACGATGAGCGCCCCAGGCAGCCCCGACCAGGCCTATGACTTCCTGCTCAAGTTCCTGCTGGTGGGTGACAGCGACGTGGGCAAGGGCGAGATCCTGGAGAGCCTGCAGGACGGTGCAGCCGAGTCCCCGTACAGCTACCTAGGGGGGATCGACTACAAGACGACCACCATCCTGCTGGACGGCCAGCGGGTGAAGCTGAAGCTCTGGGATACATCGGGGCAGGGAAGATTTTGTACCATATTCCGCTCGTATTCTCGTGGTGCCCAAGGAGTGATCCTGGTGTACGACATTGCAAACCGCTGGTCCTTCGAGGGTATGGATCGATGGATTAAGAAGATTGATGAGCATGCCCCTGGTGTCCCTAAAATCCTGGTGGGGAATCGCCTACATCTGGCATTCAAGAGGCAGGTGCCCAGGGAGCAGGCCCAGGCCTACGCCGAGCGCCTGGGCGTGACCTTCTTTGAGGTCAGCCCCCTGTGCAATTTCAACATCATAGAGTCTTTCACGGAGCTGGCCAGGATCGTGCTGCTGCGGCACAGGTTGAACTGGCTCGGGAGGCCGAGCAAGGTACTGAGCTTGCAAGACCTCTGCTGCCGCGCCATCGTGTCCTGCACGCCCGTGCACCTGGTGGACAAGCTCCCGCTCCCCATTGCCTTAAGAAGCCACCTCAAGTCCTTCTCCATGGCCAAGGGCCTGAATGCCAGGATGATGCGTGGCCTCTCCTACTCCCTCACGGCGAGCTCCACTCACAATAGGAGCAGCCTCTGCAAAATGAAGATCGTCTGCCCACCCCGGAGTCCACCCAAAAACTGCACCAGAAACAGCTGCAAAATTTCTTAAGAAAGGCACCAAAAGGAAGCAAGTTGGAATCGCTCCAGGAAAAGCTCTGAATGGTTACACCTGGAAGAGGAAAGATGCATTCAAGATTCAAGAAATAGGTTTTCAGTTTCTCATGGGAACGATGCTGCTTGGCAATGTGTGTGATGCCTTCCATTAATAACAGCACGTTATGCAGTTGGACTTTGAATTTCTACGTGGATGTGCATGTGTTTCTAAAGGGAAAATTAGTACTCTGCTCAACTCTTGTTAACATGAAATTTTTAATGTTATTTATATCATAATCACACTGCAACTTTTTCCGAAAAATAACCGCTTTTGTAAGAATGTTGATATGGCAACGATGAGTATAAATTCAAGGGAATTTGAGAAGTAATGATAGTGAGATAATTCAGAGTCATCAATATTACAAGAGGGGCCTTTTTGTAAACCTTTTAAATGTCAAAGCACCAATTTATAAAACACTGCAGATGCACATAGAGATTATACATAACAGATCTGTCCAGCTTGTGCATGAAATGGATTTGATAAAGTTTTTGCTATGTTATTTTACTACATTTGGGGATTAATAAGTGATTTATATGTATGTTTTTCTGTAAATCTACTTTTTTGTACAAGATATTCCACAAGATATGAAGCTAAGGGAAGAAAACACCAAAGATATCTCTAGTTACGTTGAACATAGCCAACGTGGTTTTAATGGATCAGTAAGAAAAAAGCCATTTCAGTAAGGAATGAAATGTTAAGAAATGTTAATGAAATGTTATTTAAGAAAATGTTTCTTAACAGTAAAAAGGCATATATTTTTCTTTTTTGGTAAAACAAAAAGAAAAAGAAAAATATGTATAATGTAACCCTGCAAGATGAGGCTTTGCAGAAAAACAATGTGATAGAACACGGGCAGGGAGGCCCATTATAAGGCTTTAGGTAAGTCATTTCTAAATGTGCTGGCCAGTTTTGGTTAACACCTCACAGATCAATGTAGAGGTTAATGAGATCCCATCCGGGAAAGCACGTCTGAGACCTTAGATGGGAAGGAAGGGAAAGTGATTTCCATGTAATTACTTTTCAATTTACACTGTGGATTATTATAATAATCAATATTGGATGAACTGAGTAAATATAAGTCCTTGCACTCCTTTGTAATTGAGTGACCATTTATTTTTGCGTTGTCATAGGGTGGTTGTAACATAACGTCCCACAGAAGGGCAGGATCTCTGGCCTCACGGAACCATGGGGACTCACCCTTCCTGAATGCTGGTACTTTTCTATCTCGTGAATTTCCCACAACATTCCTGGGAGGTAGAGGATACATTCTCTACACCATCCTGTAGCTGAAGAAACAGTGATGTTTGCAGGTTAAGGACACCTGGCTGGGGAGTGTCCTGCCACTAAGTGGAAAGGCAAAGATCAGCACCCTATATGCCCCCTCGCAGATGGTGATGTTGGTGACATCACACCATAACCAAGTAAATCTTGATTTCCTGATGACCCTGGTCACTACTGAAATGTGTATCTTCAGCTCTGAAGCCAGGCTGACAGTTTTGTCTCTCTTCTGAAAGACAGAGAATCTTGTCAGACCTAAATCTCCTCCTCTGTAGACAAGGGAGCATCTAGGCCAGTGCTTTAGAAACTGGAGTCCCCAGACAATTCTTGTATCAGGAAGAATATGCACTCTCAGAGGGACAAGGGTCATGCTGAGGATGAGTACTTGAAGGAGCAGGCCCCAAACACATGCAGATCAGGGATGCATAGAGTCTTTAATAGAAATTACCAAATCACCTGGAAAGAGGTTGTACTAAATGACATCCCCACCACCAATATAAAACAGGGTAGACTTCCCTGCATGCCCATCTCACTGGAATCCTGAATGGTTTCTTTTTATATTTTGATGATATGACAGGTGGAAATTCTTTCCTTGTCATTATATTTAATTTGATGTTCAGATAACTTACAAACTTCTCTAGTACACAAAATGGTCTGATAGTCATCACTGCATTATATTTTTATTGCAAAATGGTCCATTTTCATATGTAGCATAAAAACAATGAGCAAGAGACACATGAGCCTGCAGGTTCTCCTGGAGCTACTGCTGGCATTACGGTTCCAGGATGTGTGGTGGCCTCTGGGTGTTCCTAATGGCACTGTGTTTACAAAGAAGGGAATTAAGAATGTCTCTCCATGACATTGGTTGAGTTCAAGTTTGGAAAGCATCTGGATCTGCACTTTGTGGAGTCCTTTTGAATGACACAAGAACTGGACCACAACACGCTTCTGAGCAGGCTGTAATCCTTTCCCCATTGCCGAAGGCAAGCCTGTCTGTGACCTCAACTGCTAAGGTCAGGGTGGATCCCTCCAGGATGTAAGGTGTGTAAGTCAGCCTAAATCTGCCTCTGAACCCTCAAGCTGGGTGCTCCCATCTTGCTGCCATCAGTTGCAGAGACCTGAGAAACTGCATGCTTTCAGTCACCAATGCCATGGGTTCAGTCATCTGTGTGAGAATTCTGTCCTGAGAAAATACCATAAATTACCAGCAGCTCTTTGACACATCTTGCATCCATCTATCCATCTGTCCATCCATTCATCCCTACAGTTAATAGACATTAAGGCCAAACTCTATACCATCCCTTTTGTGAAGTTTTAGGCTTCCCCAGAATGTGAAGTGTGGAACTAGGGGCATGGTTAATTCAGTTTGTAGATCTAAAAAGAGATGGTCCCTTCCTCTTAATATTTCAACCTGACAGAGTCACTTATCATTGATAATTTTAAAACATAATACCCTGGACCCCTCTCTACATCCCCAGTTATGGTTCTCTTTACATATATTCTCCCCATTGTGACCAAAGTTCTTTGTTGTTGTTGTTGTTGTTGTTGTTGTTGAGATGGAGTCTTGCTTTGTTGCCAGGCTGGAGTGCTGGAGTGCAGTGGTATAATCTCGGCTCACTGCAACCTACATCTCCCGGTTCAAGCGATTCTCCTTCCTCAGCCTCCTGAGTAGCTGGGACTACAGGCGTGCATCACCAAGCCCAGCTAATTTTTATATTTTTAGTAGAGACCGGGTTTCACCATGTTGGCCAGGATGGTCTCAATCTCTTGAGCTCGTGATCCACCTGCCTCAGCCTCCTGAAGTGCTGGGATTACAGACGTGAGCCACGACCAAAGTTTTCTGAAGAATTCTCAACGCTCAACTCACATTCCTCCACCTCAGTCCTCATTGCTTATCTACTGGCGCCTTTCTCCCCCACCTCACCGCCGAAATGAACCCTGCCAAGGTCTACAGCCACCTCTCTTTCACATTTATAGATCAAGAACGTTGAAATATACATCCTAATGTTTTCATCTGTATAATATTCTCTGGGAAGTTTTCTTATGCAGGTACTTATAAATTTATGCAGAAATGTATGCATTTATATAATTATCTGCAAAAGATAAGGTTAATCCTACATTTAATATCATGACATGCTTCTCTCACTGAGAACATACCTCAAAGTTTATTGATTATGATTATACTTGAGTCTATACCATAGGGATAGTAGAAGTACTAATAGCCAGTAAAGACAGAAGAAACGAAATTTAAATGGCTAAAACATTCTTTGCCAAGTCCTTTTTAGGCATTGAGTCGTTCAATTTTCAGAGCACCCTTACAAGGTAAACACTGTTGCTAATTCCCATTTCATAGATGAAAATCTGAAGTACAGAGTGAATAAGGACTCTGCCTGAGACCATACAGTTAGGGAGCAGGAGAGCTTAGATTTGTGTCCGGTACATCATGCTCCAGAGCCTGGGAGACTGTCAAAGCTCTGTTGTTAGGTGAAAAAAGCAGTCTGCACAAGCATGCATACTTTAGAAGGTTACTAAAATGAATACTTTGTATATTAATATATTTGTTTGAAAAGCTGGACATAATGAGAAAAGGTGGATGATTATAAACTTGGTGAGAGGACATTCATTACAATCATATGGACAGAAGACATAGTGTAGTGGGATAAGCGATCAAAGGGAAGTGAGAAATGTAGAAAAGCCTTTTCCATAATTTGATTTTAAAGATTTTAGATATATATATCATATACACATTTAGCAATTGGCAAATGAAAGAATGGATAATTGTGTGTCAAAGGTATGCCAGTAATGCTAAGATTTTTGTCCCTCAGGAAGGCAGCAGGTGGCTGAAATGCTGGTTGCTGTGGCTGGCTAATGCATGACCTAAGGACCTGTGCAATGGTGACAGCAGAATAGGTCCAGAATTTTTCTATAAATATATTAACATATCAAGTAGCCCAGGAGCAGCCTCTGGGCAAACACCAAACCTTGCATCCCTGGTGCTATCTATCTCTGATCCTACCAGGTGAGTTCCCAGGCACACCTATCTTGCACACTGCCCCCACCCCCAACCTGGGAAGCTGGATTTGGGTGTGCTCAGAAGCGTGACGTTGGGTAGCTTGTATGAGATAATGAAATACTTCAAAATGCAGAATACTTTGTCTCTAAAACTTTGAGCTTAATGCATATTACATAGATATTTGCTTCTTTTAACTAGATGTTTGTGTTCCCATGAGAAGAAGCAATGAGAAATGGTTTTTCATGCTTCCTTAACTCTGAGGCTCAGCCAGCCCCTACTGCTGTGTCCCAATATTTAAAGACCACCAAAGTCCTACTCCATGCCATATACTCTGGACAGGTTTTCTCATTAACCACTCAAGACAGTTCTGTAAGGATGGCATGGTCAGTCCCATTTCACAGATGACCAAGCTCAAGCTCACAGAGCCCAAGTCACCTCTCCAAGTAAGTGGTAGAATTGGAATGAGGTCCCCTCTAGAGGACTCTGAGCAGCCTCCTTATTTAGAAGATGGGCATCCGGAACTTAAGAAATGGTCAGATTTCACTCCTCTGCTATTGTGAACCCATGAGTCTTTACTCAACAACTCTTCTGGGTGTTGAAGATGACAGAGGCGAGATCCCATTTTTTGTGCCAAGAGACCTGGGTGTAGGGCCACACAAGTTGGATGATCCATGAAGTGATGAATGCGTTCAGGCTGGAGCTCAAGTGTTGGCCTTGGGACAGGTGAGCTGAAGAGAAGGAAAGTTACATGCACTGAACTACTGTAAACCAATGCAATTTACACCTCATCTCCTTTAATCTTAACAACCATTCAAGTAACCCATCACTCTGAGCATTATTCACATCAGCGTACTTTGGGAAAATTTAGGGAAATCAAGGGGACATCTTTGTTGTCTTCTCATAGCAGGCAATTCTGAATTACTCTAATTTCCATTTCGTCTTCATGTTTTATGGGCTTTGAATGATCTAATCTCTTTGGAAGCAGCCATTACATGTTCCAATACTGTTCCTTTTTTTCTTAAATTATAATCTGTATAGCTTTAGGTCACAGTATATTAAAATTGAAAAATTTTAGATTTAAAAAACCCACTAAGAATAGTTGGTGAACTTTGGAAAAAATTCTTGCAAACTACACCTGAGATATTGGGCTAGTATCCATGCTTAGTGAAACTAACAAGCAAAGAGATTGGCAAGTAACTGTAACGGAGACTTCAAATATATATATGTATATATGAAACACAATGATAATAAACATGTTAAATATGCCAAATTCACAAGAAGTCAGTGTAAATTCTCAGAAGATATTAAGTGGAAAAACAAATTCTAAAGACTGTGATTGCACTTTTGGAAAAGACTGTGTATGTGAAGGTGAACATGTTTGTGTGCACCTCACTTACTGGGACACATCTGGAGAGTATCTACTACCCTAGGAACAGCAGACCACTTGAAGTCAGGGAGTAGGAGTAGGGTCAGGTCAGTTGGAGATGCAGATTAATTATAATTCATGAATGTGCTTTTGTATATTTATTGAATTTTTATATTTAGGAAAAACTGGATAAAATATTTAAGACGAAATATTTTGAATAGATCTATAAAAGTAAGGTCCACATATGCTTTGTACTATAGAAAAGCATTCATTTTATTCAATTTCCTGGAGAAATAAAGTAGGTTTTTAAATATGCATTGACGTGTGCATGCGTTTGTGTGTGTGTGTGTGTGTGTGTGTGTGTGTGTGTGTGTGTGTGTGTGGTTTGTCTCTACTACTGACAGTCACAGACTTGTAGTCAGTTCATTCTAGGGCTTCCAC